CAATAGACAATCGTAAAAGATAAAAAGTCAATGTCTCATTAACGCTGAATATAAGTCATTAACGACAGCACATTAAAAAAACTACATATAAAGTTTATTATAGACAATAAAAATACTAATTAAAAAATGAGTTATATACCACTCAACCATAAAAAATAATAATAATAAATATATATAATAAATATATAATGTTATTAAGGTAAGTACTTCCTACTCATGCAATAGACCTATACATTAACAGCATAAAGCAATATGTAAATAAATATATATATATATATATATATAAAAATGCACACACACACACACACACATATATATATATATATATATATATATATATATAAAAATATATATATAAAAATCCATATATCATAAAACAAATTAAACTATAGAGAACAAATTAAAGTATACATATAAAAAATATAAATAAAACATATATAGAGGGACTAGGTATTACAATTATGATCCGATATGATCCGATAAATATTAATTAAAATAATGATCCTATATATAGGTAAAAACAGATACAGCTATTTGTCACTGATAAAGCAATTTAAATCGAATTCCACGTTCAACCCTTTAGGTCGGCAGAGGAAAGTGGTTTTCAAAGCAGACCTCCTGCACCAGACTAATTAATGGTTTACAGCCCTGGAGCTTCATCTATCTGTGTTTTATTTAAGATAAGAGGCCCTTTTGAAGTCCGTTCAACTTACAGCTATAAATTCCATTTCAAGAGGGAGGAGGGACAAAATGGCTGAGGCCTAACAAGATGGCTATCATGTACAGCGTCCATGTCTCTATTGCGCACAAACGTCACACTGACCTGTGGTGCTGAACTGGTTTATAGTTGTTTCAGCAAGAGGAGAGAGCTGCTGAACAAAAGAGTCAGGCAGCTATGCACTGTGGTAACTGTAATCCTGAGGAGAGACTCTACTGTGTAATCAAGAGCTTTTTAACTACATTCACCAGAGAGGAGATTGCTGGGAGTTGGGGAAAAAAGCTGCATTTTCCCAGGCTGTAGAAGACACAGCTTCCTTTTTACAAGCAGAGACCAGAGAGTGCACATTGCTGTCTAGTGTGCACTACCGCTGCTGCATATCGGCGGCCTGAGCAGGATCTGGAGGACTGAGTTTGCATATGCTGACAGACACCTGGGTGCAGAGAAAAGAGTGGACTAATCACTGTGTGTGATGGTAAGCTGCAATATTGCAGGGACTGGTGAGATGCTACTGTGGAGATTTACTATCTGCTGCTAGAGAGACTGAGCCCTGAAAATACAGCCATCTAAGGGTTTTATTGCTGCCTGCAGGCTTGATTGGGACTATTATCATGTGCACCAGCGGTACAACTGGGCCCCAACCCTAGCTGGCTGAAGACTTAAGACTAAAGACTGTCCCTTTACAGCTTCTACACAGGGGTCTTTATCTATTGCTTATGCTAAGATATACCTCTCAGGGGACATTGCATCATATTCTAGCAATTCTCCTACAGTGCACTCTAGACTAGTTACTATTCACATTGCAGTTAATGCTTACATGTACTGTGTATTGCTGACTTTGCTGATTTATGTGTTGATTCCAGTCTAGTGGTAAATAATTCTTATATAAGTTACCTGGGCATAGTGATCATACTGTCTAGCGGACTGTGTTTGAACCTTCCTTTCCATGTGTTTATTTATGCTTAAACCACCATTTACTCTAACCCTCACCAATACATTGATTTAATTTACCACTAAACGGTCTTGTGTCTATTTCCTGGTGTTAATTCATGGCAGAGTTAAAGGGATCTATACGTGTGTTCTTATAAGTGCTTGCAGTAACTTTCACTCAACCAGGTTTGTCAGAGGGGCCGAGGTTGTCCTTGGGATTGAGGTGCACAACAGAGAACCCAAATTTCCAAGGGGCTCTTCTGGGGTAGCACTACATATATTATTCACATGTTGGCTGAGCATAAGTCATGTGAACATGAAGCATTTTCACCTGACATGAAATGTAGTTCCCTGTAGTGAAAAAATAAAGCCCCAGTATTCCAATTTACCGTATGTATTATCCACATAATGCAACAAAAAACCTACTTCTAAGCAGAATAAATATCACCTCTGAAAACTGTTGAACTGAGCCATCAACAAGTAAGATATGCAATATAAAAAAAACATCCTTATCTAGGCTCCAAATGGGTAGGAGAATGTAATAGAATAACAAGAAAATACATTAGGTGCTGAACAATATAAGCTATAATACAGACTTAAAAAAATGTAGCAGATCACTCATTTCCTGGGGTAGCTTTTTGCTATAAATATATGAAATGCCAGAGGCATTCCAGCCACTTTGCAGACTTTCAGTGCAATAAAGATGAAAACGTTTTCAAATTCTAGTTCATGGAACTAGCACTTGAAATATTTATTGGATATACAAATATTTTAGAGGCCACATTTTGCCATGAGTTAAATATGTTCCATCCATGTCATACATTGTATTTTATGGTTTTATGGGCAAAATTACCAAGAAAGGCAAAAGGGACAGCTGCTCAGAACCCAGCAGTCTGAAGGTCCATCAGAAAATCTGCTATCCAATACATTAACCTGGGTGTCAGACCACTAAAGCTGTAGGTGCACAGACTTGTAAGTAATGAAGAGAAGAACTAACCTGTCCTCAGACTGGACATCTGCTGTTGAGTAAAGAAAAACCCTGCCCTCCAGACTCATGGCTAAAGCTAGCCATACACTAGCAGATTTTTGAACGAGCATTCGTACGAAAATTCTCAGTGCATTCAATGAATTGACCAATGTCATTCAACAGTAATCCAAAAGCAATCCAAATCTAACATTTGATTTTGGAATGAACTTCCCTGAATAAAAATCACACTGTTAGAAATTAAATTTGTTTGAGAAACATTTCACACCCTGCTTCTCCAAATGTTCTCATCACTGTGGTCAAAAATGAAAACATTAACATGACTCCAATAACAATTAGAAATTCAGACAGACTTAAAACAAACATTTTTCTTTTTGTTTACAAACGTTTTTATTTATCAAGAAATAGGCTGCAAAAACAGCTTCACAGCATAAAGTAAAACATACAACAGAAAAAGAAGGCACACCTGTAATAAAAACAAACATTTTTCAACAAAATTCTTCTAGTGTATGGCCAGCTTTAGATTCTCCAACTTCCACTCCCCTGGTTCTTTGTCGGTACCCACTGATTCATTTTAATGACAGTTGGGTGGGCTTAGCAGGTACATCAGGGAAAGTCAGGCCCAATAAAAAAGTGAAACTAAATCAGAGAGGAGTACATAGGAGAACTTTCTAGCTAATTACAGTAATAACACACATCTTAAGGTGTTTGCACTTAGGCAGGTGTTTAATCACACGTTATAACACATACACCTTTGCAGGTGTGAATGAGCTCTCTCTTTCCATGTAAATACATACTAAAATGCAGCACATAGATGTGAGTCAAACACATAGGAAAGCATTGAAGTCCTGCAGTAAAATTCAGGTGTTTTATTGCAGGAAAAGGATACGTGTGAATAGTTCCTATGACTGTATTGTCTTTTCCTAAGTGTTCCCTTCTGATAAGGTTCAGCAGTACACGCATTCATGGAACAACAGTGAAAAGTATACTGCCTGTCTCCTGTGTCTGATCAAAGACTGTACACAGCAATGTATGGATACACTTATACAGTACATGTATACATACAATGTATACAATACACATGCATGAATGGGCTTGGTTAAATAAACCAAAACAACGAATCAGAGTCTTCTCTTCATCTTTTTAGAAAAGTAGGGTGAAAGATGACTATTGATTAGTTGCTGAAGGTTAAAACACTTTGGGGATGATTTACCTAAGGAAATTGACAGCGCACTTTGCAAGTGCAGTTGCACTCATTTTCCTTAGTAAATGTGGCACAAATTCACTTTGTAAAGAATACTGAATCAGGTGTAAGGAAAAATATAAAAACATTTTTGCTTGCACATGATTGGATGATGGAAATCAGCAGCACTTTACCACATTTACTAATCTCTGGAGAAAATGAGTGCTTGGAAGACGATAATCCATTCTCTGTTTCCTAATGATTGAGAACACTTGTCCATAAATACTATATTAGGAACTACTTGAACCCTTTGTACATAGCAAGAGGCAACTTCAGAGGGTTTATTTTACAGGACAGCTATTTTACTTTTCACCCTTTAAGTTCCAAGTAACCAGGTACTGCTGTTTGTTCTTTATGAAGGGATAAACTTTCTATATTGCATTATAGTACTGTGTTTGCAATCAAAAAGGACAACTTATATGTGGTCAAAGACTGTATGTGTATTTGCACTCATACATACTGACAAACACATGTTTATTATTTATTACAGGTTCTTATATAGTGCCTTCAATTTACGCAGCACTTTACATATATATTTTACATTCACATCAGTCCCTAACCCTCAAGGGGTGTACAATCTAAGGTCCCTAACTCACATTCATACATACACAACATACACATACTAGGGCCAATTTGGACAGGATACAATTGGGAGGAAACTGGAAAACCCAGAGGAAACCCACGCAGACACAGGAAGAACATGCAAACTCCAGGAAGGTGGTGCCGTGGTTGGGATTCTAACCAACGACGCTAGTGCTGCCAGGTGGATGTGCTAACCACTGAGTCACTGTGCTGCCCCATATATATATATATATATATATATATATATATAAATTTGCAATGCACAGTAATTATTGGGGTTTGAGGTTGGGGTTTGAAAGATACTGTAAATAAATAAGTAAACCTAAGTAACTAATTATAGTGTTCCTTCCATCACTTTAACCGCCTCCCGTCCTCCATATAGTAATATGATGGACACAAGGTGGTTCTCTCGTTCTGGGAGGACGTCATATGACGTCCTCCCACTCTAAACCACGCATGCGCGACTCTGGGGGAGCGCAACGTGGCGATCGGCGGTGCGCTGTGTCCCTCGGACACAGCGAATCACCGATCCACGGGAAGAACCGAAGATGTCGGCTCGGTTATGTGATCAGCTGTGTCCAATCACAGCTGATCACATGTAAACTGGGAAATGCCGGTTATCGGCATTTCTCTCCCCACGAGCTGTCACACTGACAGCTCGAGAGGAGAGCAGAGCCGGTAATCGGCATTCCTCGGAGGGGACATGTACACTGATCATCAGAGCACTGATGATCAGTGTACCCTGATGATCTGTGTAGCCCCAGCAGCGCCACCTGTCAGTGTCCATCAATGCCACCTCTCAGTGCTCATCCATGACACCTGCCAGTGCCCATCAGTGCCACATTTCAGTGCCCATCAATGCCACATCAATGCCACATATCAGTGGCCATCTGAGCTGCCTTTCAGTGTGCCAGTCAGTGCCACCTATCAATGCCAGTCAGTGCCACCTATCAGTGCTGCCAATCAGTGCCTCCTATCAGTGCCAGTCAGTGCCGCTTATCAGTGTGCATCAGTGCCGCCTATCAGAGTGCATCAGTGCTGCCTATCAGTGCCGCCTATCAGTGCCATATATGAGTGCTGCCTTTCGGTGCCCATCAGTGATGCCTGTCAATGCCCATCAGTGCCACCTACCAGTGCCTCCTCCTCATCAGTGCCACCTATCAGTTTCCATCAGTGCAGCCTATCCGTGCCCATCACTGCAGTCTCATTAGTACACATCCATGAAGGAGAAAAATCACTTATTTACAAAATTTTCTAACAAAAACTAAGAAAAAACATTTTTTTTTTCAAAATGTTCAGTGGTTTTTGGTTTGTTTAAGAAAAAACCCAGAGGTGATTAAATACCACCAAAATAAAGCTCTATCTGTCACAAAAAAATGATAAAAATGTCATATGGATACAGTGTTGCATGACCGCGCAATTGTCAAAGTGTGACAGTGCTGAAAGCTGGAAATTGGCCTGGGCAGGAAGGGGGTATAAGTGCCCTGTAGGCTAGTGGTTAAAGTAAAATGACCAGACATCCCTGGTTTCTGGGAATAATCCCAGATTTGAGGAGGCCACCCTGGCTGAAAAGTGTTCTCAGATGTGTTCCTGATTTTAAAAATGAGGAGTGAGAGCCGAGCCACTGGAACATACACTCACAGGCCACTTTATTAGGTACACCTGTTCAATTGCTTGGTAACACAAATTGTTTATTAGCCAATCACATGGAAGCAACTCAATGCATTTAGGCATGTAAATGTGATGAAAACAACTTGCTCAAGTTCAAACCGAGCATCAGAATGAGGAAGAAATGGGATTTAAGGGATTTTGAACGTGACATGGTTGTTGCTGCCAGACGGGCTGATCTGAGTATTTCAAAAACTGCTGATCTACTGAGATTTTCACACACAACCATCTCTATGGTTTACAGACAATGGTCTGAAAAATCAAAAATATCCGGTGAGTGTCAGGGTCCTGGCCACGGCAGAAGTTCTGGAAGATCTGGCATTTGCCAGTACTCTGCATGGCCACAGAAGTACACATCAGCCTCAGTTTGGTGCCAAACGGCCTTTATAAGGAGGCTCCTCAAGTTGCTGGATGATCTCTAGCTCCCCGTACCCTGTTCCTGTTTCCTGTGATTCGGACCTGTGATTTCCTGTTACTGACTCGGCTTGCTCCTGGACCTGTCTACTCTGCTTTACCCCTGATCTGACCTTGACTTGGCTTATGGATACTCTCTTTCTCGCTCCTCTGTGTATGACCTCGGCTATCCCATCTGACTACGTCTGCTCTGATTCCCACCTGGTACCTGACCTTGGCTTGAACCGACTACCCAGTAAACATCTAAATCCCGGAAGGGCTTACATACCACGCACAGGCGCCTCCTGTCTGCAGACCTATCTCCGTGCACCAGCTGTGCTTCTGAGTTGACCACCAACCAGCACTCCTACAGGCGACCTGTGCAACTTTGGGTCAGACTCCTGCTGTCCCACTCTCAGGGGAGTCTGGAACTTAGCCGCAAGGGAAGCCCTCTCTCCATTGGCCTCCATCACCAGGTATTTCATAGTATCATCCAGCCAGTATGTCCGAGGTCGAGAGAGGCGCTTCCGCACTAGAGGCCCTGTGCCAACAAATGACGGCACTTACCCAAGCAGTGAAGGATCTACAGCAAGGACACTTCCAGCTAGAAGGGCGTCTTCACTCCCTCTCTATTTACGCAGACCAGGATCCCTCCGCCAGTTCCAATCTAGTAGCCGCACCTGCCAGTCAGTCTCCTGCCACCACTCCTGCTATAGTGTTACCACCTCCGGAACCCAGAGTTCCTACTCCTGAACGCTTTCTCGGGGATCGACGTAAGTTCAGATCTTTCAAGAAAGTCTGTGAATTATTTTTTGCTCTGCAACCCAGGACCTTTTCTCTGGAAGCGGTCAAGGTCAGGTTCATCATCTCCCTCTTGTCTGAAGAACCTCAGTCTTGGGCACATGGTCTTCTGGAACAAAAGAGCCCAGCACTTAATTCAGTAAGTGAATTCTTTCAAGCCATGGCTGCCATCTACGACGATCCCCAGAGGACCTCCACTGCTGAGTCCACCCTCCATGCTATACTATAGGGTCACCGGCCTGTGGAGGACTACATAGTGGAGTTCCATAAATGGTCTGCAGACACTGGTTGGAACGATGCAGCATTGAAGTACCAGTTCCGCCTAGGCCTGTCCAAGTCCTTCAAAGACGAGTTAGCTAGGGTGGAAGCTCCCTCCTCCTTGGAGAACCTTATCCTGCTTGCTACTTGCTACTACTTCTACGGGAAAGACGCATGGAGTGTACTCAGACCTTTCGACCCACTTGGGTTCTGCCAAAAGTTCCAGGACCAACGGCTCTTGCCCTTGCTCCACAACCCATCAACACTTCGGAGGTAGAACCTATGCAAATCGGCCTTCTCTGACCTGCCCTAACTATGAAAGAAAGGCTACGCACACAGCAAGGCAACCTCTGTCTTTACTGTGGGGCCTCGGGCCACTTCTTGCGTAACTGCCCAGTACGACCAATTAAGTCCAGCCAGGCCCATCCTTCATACCTTCAGCTATCCGGGACTTTAACCACCCATGTCATTCTCCCCATGTCATTGCAGGTGGCTGGAAGGGATGTTAAGTTGCGGGCAGTCGTTGACTCAGGAGCTTGTAGCTGTTTCTTAGACATCCAATTGGTCAAGGACTTACACATACCTCTTCTGCCTAAAAAAACAGAGACTTGACGTCTTACTTGCGGGTGGCACTACTCCGAGTTCCAGACCTGTTACCCAGGAAACCATTCCTATTCTTGCAACCACCGACTCCGGTCATCAGGAGTTTATTTGTTTTGATGTGATCAGATCCCCCATGTTTCCAGCCATCCTAGGAATACCCTGGTTGCAAGCCCACAACCCACAGATCAATTGGCCCAAGAAGGAAGTCATCTTTTCTTCAGAATATTGTCTACAACACTGTGGTGCCCCTGCTCTCACCAATTCTTCTGTATGTCTCTCAGTCCAACCTCCACCAGAGGCCAGTCAATCAGTTCCCTCTCCCTACCACAACTTCCTTGATGTGTTTGATAAGAAGAAGTCTGACACATTGCCTTCCCATCGGTCTTATGATTGCCCAATTGAGTTACTCCCAGGGGCAGAAATACTATTTGGGCAAATTTTCCAATTGTCTGAACTTGAACTGGAAGCCCTCCAGCACTATCTAGATGAGAATCTCGCTAAACAATTTATCCACCCCTCTTCCTCTCCTTTCAGGGCTGGTATTTTCTTTGTAGAAAAAAAGGATTGTCTCTTAGACCTTGCATTGACTACATGGAATTTAATAAAATTACCATTAAAAACCGGTATCCTCTTCCTCTGGTGCCCGAGTTGTTTCAGAGATTTCGAACAGCCCGAGTGTTCACTAAATTGGACTTACGGGGGGGCTACAATTTAGTCCGTATAAGAGAGGGCGATGAGTGGAAGACCGCCTTCAGAACACGTTTCGGACACATTTTGAGTACCTAGTGATGCCGTTTGGGCTATGTAATCCCCTGCTACGTTTCAACATTTTGTGAATGACATCTTTAGAGAGTACCTTGACCTTTTTGTGATTGTCTACCTGGACAATATCCTAATTTTCTCTACCTCACTGGAACTCCATAATGATCATGTTAGGATAGTGCTAAACACTCTAAGTGTCACTTTGTTAATAAAATGTCCTATTTAACACTATTAAACCTTAATCAGCTTTACCATTATCAGCCTGAATTTATTCCATCTTCCTAATACCCCTTAACTACTTTTTCTGCTGTTTTTTTTTTTTCATTTCTAATTTTCTTACCATTAATATATAAACATTTTTTCTTAACTTTTTTAGCATCAAAAATTTGCAACATTAAAAAAAAAAAAACTTTAGTTAATTTCTAATTAACTTTGCAATGCTCTGCAGTGAAATGATAATTGTAGTGTAATTCTTAAACAGGGCAAATAATAAAATTACAATTATACTGTTATCAATAATATTTTCCTAACACAAGCATGACAGCATACGCATGTGGGTACAGGCTCCATCCCCTGCCCAATCACAGGACCATTTATACTATAAAAATGAGTCAACTTCCCCATGGCAACATTCTGCTTTTTTTTTACTCATGGCTCAGCCAGTTATGGAACTGTTTAAAGCAGAATGTTTACCCTCACCTTGCCAGATTCATCCAGCCTAGCCACACAGGTTCAGCCTCTCCTGTGGCAAAGCTCTTTCCATACAGATTGTAAAGCTCCTAGAAGAATGAAGCCTCCCCCATGTCCAGGTACTGGGGTTGTAGGATGCTGGTCTCTAGAGATTGCACAAGTTCCTTCTTCATCATAACTCCATGCTGGACATTCATTGAACTTCCAGCTGGCTATGGGAAGTTCAGATGGTTAGACACCACTTGGTGCAAAAGACAATAGTGCTCAGCAGCTGTTAAACTGTTAAGAGTTGTCTACTACATGCATCACAATTGTGAGTCTTGCTGGCTTGTTGTCTATAGTTCTGTCTGTTTTGTCAATGCCTAAAAGGTTGTGGCTTGTGTCTGCAGTACTGCTAATGCATGAGCTGATAGTTCAGGTGTTTACTGTTGTTAGAGAGTCAGGTCTTTCCTATTAACACAGCAATGCCTGGGCTGCTGGCCTGGCTTACTGCATATTGATGATTTACTGCTTTGTCTATTGTGTTAACATTTTCGGTGCATTTGCCAGTTGTAGGTTAACCTGTCAGGGCTAATTATCTGATGCCTATTAACCCTTCATTGCTTTGCCTGTGATATACTAACTCTTCAGTACTCATGACTGCTATGCATTAAAATGTCAGTTCTAATGCCTGGGTGAAAATGAGTGCTCTACTTAGCTTTCATTGCCTATTGGACATCAATCTGTAATTTCTTCTGTCTGATGTGCCTCACACCTCGTTCACTGGCTCTTGGGCACTGCAACTATTTGCGGACAACTGGTTGGCTGAGGCTTTTAATTCTCTGCAGCTGTTTGCAGGCAGCTCCTTTCGCAGTTGTAAGTGGGGCTATAGTCCTTCAGCTCATATGT